CATGCTGCTTGTCTGAGCCGTTTGATACGTCGCATGGTAATCCCCAGGAATACCAGGTGGCCCAAATAATCGAGGCCGCGACGTCCTGCACGACCCATCATTTGACGAAATTGCGTGGGGTTAAGAAGAATATGGTCTCCCGCCAGGACAACAGAGCGGCAGGGACTGTGAATACCCAGCGCCAGGGTTTCTGTGGAGAAAATAACACCACAGTGACGTCCTCGGAAGAGACGCTCCACATGTGCCCGGAGTTTACCCTTTACACCGGCATGATGCATACCAATACCGCGTTGTAGGGCACGAAGGAGGAGATCTTCCCCTTCCTTCTCACAGTCTTCCATAAGTGAGTCCACGACTTCAGGCTCCACCGTGCACTTGTCGCCGATAAATGTGAACTCGGGTAATACATCGGGGACAACAAATAATTCATCCTCGCCTTCACCATCACTCATATCGCGATCCGCCACTTCCACGTCGCCATCATCTCCAGTCGTTAGACGCTTCTGTTTGAGCGTCGACTCACGCTGCTTTCTTCGTGCTTCCTGAGCAGCGGCGGCGCGCTCTATGCGGGCTTTGTATAGCGCAAACTCGTTTGTCTTTCGGTAGCGTGACTCGGCCTCTTCAAGTTGCTCCACAACGTATTTTACAAGGTCGCCACAGTCTTCCGATTCAAAGCTGAAAACTATTGTGGGACCCATATCCCGCGCTATGAGTTCACGCAAGACATTTAAGATGTGCTCCCGGATGAACTGCCGCGATCCCGGAAAGGAGACGGAGCCCACGGTCTCCTTTTCCTGCTCCTCTTCCTGGGCCCCGCCTTGTTCCTCGGACTTTTGCTCCATGGACTCCTCCTGATTCGGTTCGTTTTCCTGTTCTTTTTGTTGTAGTAGTTGTAGCTGTTGTTGTCGTAGCAGCATGCGCTTCTTCTTTTCCATTCCATCGGCCGCGTGGCGCTCAAGTAACGCCTCATCTTCGTTCAGTTTTTGGGCAAAGGTGCGCAGAATACTCTCCACCACCATATTCATGCTTGCACTAAAGTCATCCAAATCCTCCTCCACGAGGTTCTCCGGAAGTTCGCAGCCTTCATGGCCCAAGTAAGCCCAGTATGCAAAAGCATTTTTCACCTCGGCTTCGTACTGCCGTGCACGTTCCTGTGTAATGTACGTCTCTGCCTCGAAATATTTACTTGGTTCAATTAACACCAATTGAGCTCGCAGGGTTTTTGCCAACTGCAATGAAGAATAATTGGGCCAGACAACCTCATTGAATTTTGAATGCATCTTCTCAAAGAGAGACACGACTTCGCTTGGCACAAGTGAGATGTCTGGGGGAAATCCACGTGAAGCTGATCTGCCGGAG